ACGAGATCGAATCCAGAATCCATTGTGTTTGTAAATCAGAAAAGTTAGCATTATTAGTGTAACTTCACTGATCTGCTCAGATTCAGACAGACATCGATCACAGGCCTCGTATTATACGCCACTTACTGGATGAAGAACTGCACATGTAATATTGATCTGAGTCTCAATGATTTTATTATGTGAGAAGAAAGAGTGTGTGGTGCGAGAGCATGAAACCAGAACGGTCAAGTGTACTATAAAGTACAACTACATACGACTAATCAATACAGCATTTAGAGTGTTTGTCACGTTAGCATGAACCCAAGAACACATGCTAAGTATACTTGTAGCCCGACTCAAGTGTGTTACTGATTGTGCCATTTAGGCAAGGCAAGGCAAGGCAAGTTTATTTATATAGCACATTTCATACACAATGGCAATTCAAAGTGCTTTACATAGAAGAAATTAAAATAATCAAAAGAAATCAGAATAATTAAAACAGTTTAGAATAAAAAAATAAGAAATAATGAAAAATAAAAATTATGATAAAAATAAAATACAGTAAATTAAAACTATTTAGAATAAAATGAAGTGCAGTAACAGTCGGACGAACAGTGGCACAGTGCTCATTCAGTAAATGCACAGCTAAACAGATGTGTTTTGAGTCTTGATTTGAGTGTGAATACTGTAGGAGCACACCTGATCTCTTCTGGAAGCTGGTTCCAGCTGCGGCTGGCATAATAGCTAAAAGCAGACTCTCCATGCTTAGAGTGAACCCTTGGTATTTCTAGCTGATGTGATCCTAATGATCTGAGTGATCTGTTGGGTTTATATTCAGTTAGCATATCTGCAATATATTGAGGTCCTAACCCATTAAATGATTTATATACCAGTAATAATACTTTAAAATCAATCCTAAATGTAACTGGCAGCCAGTGTAAAGACCTGAGGACTGGTGTGATGTGTTCATATTTTCTGGTCCTGCTCAGAATCCTGGCAGCAGCGTTCTGTATGAGCTGCAACTGTCTTATGGTCTTTTTGGGAAGGCCAGTGAGGAGGCCATTACAGTAATCCACCCTGCTGGTGATGAAAGCATGCACAAGTTTCTCTAAGTCTTTACTGGAAACAAAGCATCTAATTCTTGAAATATTTTTCAGATGATAGTATGCTGATTTAGTTATTGCTTTGACATGACTATTGAAACTAAGGTCTGACTCTAGTGACACACCAAGATTCCTGACTTGATTTTTAGTTGTTAGACCCCTAGCGTCAAGGTATGCATTCACCTTGAGAACTTCATCTTTGTTTCCAAACGCAATAACTTCAGTTTTGTCTTTGTTTAACTGCAGAAAGTTTTGACACATCCAACCGTTTACTTCATCAATGCATTGGCACAGGGAGTTAATGGGGCTGTAGTCGTTAGGCGATAGGGCTAAGTAGAGCTGTGTGTCGTCTGCGTAGCTGTGGTAAGCTATTTGGTTCTTTTTCATTATTTGGCTCATTGGGAGCATATACAGGTTGAATAGGAGTGGCGCAAGAATCGAGCCCTGAGGGACTCCGCAAGTCATGGATGTCCACTCAGACTTATGTTCTCCCATACACACAAAATAACCTCTCCCTTCTAAGTATGACCTGAACCATTTTAGGACTATCCCAGAAAGCCCCACCCAGTTTCCCAGCATGTCAAGAAGTATGTCATGATCAACAGTGTCAAATGCAGCACTGAGGTCGAGTAGTACCAACACGGATAATTTGCCTGTATCAGTATTTAAGCGAATATCGTTTATTATCTTTATGAGCGCTGTCTCCGTGCTGTGATGCGATCGGAAACCAGATTGAAAATTGTCAAAATATCCATTTGAGCTTAAGAATTTGTTCAGCTGATTGAAGACAACCTTTTCAATGGTCTTGCCTATGAAAGGAAGATTTGAGATCGGTCTATAATTGCTCAAGATGGTCTTATCCAGATTGCTCTTTTTCAGGAGGGGCTTGACAACTGCAGTTTTCAGGGAGTTCGGAAAATTCCCAGAGCGAAGTGAGGCATTTACCACTTCTAGGAGATCTGCTTCATTTAGGAACAACTCATTTTGTACTAAGTATATTTTAGTTGTAATTAAATTGTAAAGTATAGTATAAAGTTTACGGTAACACTTTACAATACGGGTGCACTAATAAACATAAATTCATGCATAACTAATGCACAGATAATACTGAATTAATGTGTAACTAATGATTATTTACGCTATTCATTAATGATTACCACATTAGCAACTAATTAAGAGTCTGTAAGGTTAATGTATTAGTTCATACATGAATTGTTATTAATTAAATATGTAATTGTGGATTAATTCCATTATAACTCATTTTTTAACTAATAGTGTTAATGAATATGTTAATCACCAGAATGAGCCAAAGCCTTGTATTTCAACTTCCAGATAATATGACAGCATGCATTAATACATGATTAATTACTTCATTGTTAGTGCAAATTCATGTGCAAATTACTACAATTACTAAATGACTAGTTAATAATGATGTGCCCCAACAAGTAAAGTCATAACATAATGATACCTTTGCAAATCATTAGCTAATGATGAATTAAAGCAGACAACTAGAAGTTGAAGTGCGTGGCTTTGACTAATTGTGGTAATTAACAGATTAATTTACACTATTAGTTAATAAAATATGTTATTAAGGAATTAATAAACAATGACACATTGAATTAATAGCAATTCATGTATTTCTTAATCTATTAATCATATAGACTCTTTATTAGTTGCTGATGCAGTAATCATTAATTAATGTTTTAGTTCTTCATGAGTTATATATTAACTCATGATTATCTGTGCATTAGTTAAGTATGAATTAATGCATGTTAGTGCACCCGTATTGTAAAGTGTTACCGCTTGATTAGTATGATATGAAAATGTGCTTTATTTGTGTTACACATACATTATAAATTCATAACAAGTGAACATGCATAACAAGTGAACATAACTTTGAAACAATATACCATGCCTATTGTATACTATAATGTATTTAGAAAGTTTTCTTTCTAAAGTGCAAATAAATGTAGTTTTAAAAAAATAAACTGTGTTTTGACTTCAAGTCTATTTTTCTGTATATATTTTTAGAAAATAAACTAAAGCTCAGTGATTTTAAAGTACGTTTAAAGTAAAAATAGGTAAGATTCTACTTAAGATAGTAAGTATATTTGCAATGTCCTATTGAGAAAGGGAATATATTTCAAACACAATAAAGTATATTTTTGTCACTAGGGCATGATGGCGTTGTTCTTGTAGGCCGAGATGAAGCCTGGGGCTTGAGTTTAGCTGTTGTCCAAGCATGAGCTGTTCCTGGGGGAAACGCTGCTGATGGATCGTCTGATAGCCGTCTCGCGGGAGTGTTTCTGTCGCACCATCAGTGGAGACGGAGCCCGCGGGGGTTCACAGCACTGGTTACCGACAAAAAGAAATGAGACATAGATCATAGCAGGGGAAAAAGACATCCAGCGAGAGAGAAACACAAATGAGAGAAACGGCACAGCCCTTATTGCAGCGTTGCCATGGCGACAGCGAGACGGCCACACAAATCGATAGATGTTTGTGTGTCTGAAGAGATCTTGCATTTCTGCTCCTTAAATCTGTTTTTCCAGTCGTAATGAACACAGTCCCACTGTACTGAAGCACTGAATCAGGTTTCAGGCCCGTCGTTCATTCTCAGCTCAGCTTTAGTTGTTACTTTAGACCAGGAATATCTCATTTCCTCAGTTTCTTCTCGTGCGTAAAATCGCTGTGAGGTTCAGTGTCATGTCTTGAGCGTCTAAAAATATGCAGGTTGTTTACGCTTTTTATACGTAACATTGCATTTTGGATGCTTTTTTCTGTGATTACTGGCTGGGTTTGCAAAAGTTTATTCAATAAACAGCATATCTTCACGTATTCTGAATCTGATACAAAGCTCTCCTCTTTCTGTACTGTAATGTGCCTGTGATTATAGAGATTAAACACACACACTACAGACACATCACAGACTTTATTACATATCCAAAGGAACAATTACAGCACAAAGCATATTGCAATTTTTTAATGGGTGGCGCTTATTTTTAACCAAAGTTGCGAATTTAACTGTAAAATTGTTTAATCAATGTGTGTCGAGCGTCAGACGAAACGCTGTTGTGTTCGGGAACACACTCGTGTGTGTGAGACGCTACTGTAGGGAATACACCCAATCATTCTGATCACACACTTCGACTCCGGCGTTTCAGAAACATCAAACCAACATTAGAGACGCTGCGACGCCATTGGTCCACTGGCTACTCCAGTTATCCAATCACAGCTGACGCAGAGCCAAAGTCACATGGGTTTGATGAAGGATTTATTCAATAAATGTGTTTCCATGTGGTTTGAGCTCATGTTTTTATGCACATTCTCAGAATTAATTAATGCACATCTTTCCATTTCCATTTAGTATTTGTTATTATGCAATATCCCAAAATGTGCGTAACAATAGATGGATGGACACACAGCTCAAACAGAAGGATCTTGGGATTTAAGAATGGATTCAAATTGAGGAATCATTATTATTTGAACCAGTTTTTCATGAATCTCTATGTTGCTTTGCATGAAATTAAGCATTATACACAACACTGGGTTGTTGCATCACGGTCTGACCCAGGATCTGACACGAAAACTACCCAAATACGGAAAAAATTAACCCAAAAGAAAGAAATGTAGAGTGTGCAGTTACATTATGCTCAGTGTTTGTTGATCAGTGTGTGAATGCAGTGAAAATGACGGCAGATCAGAAACAGGAAAGTCACTGTAGTTTTAGTATGAAGTGTTTGTGTGTTTGACTGTAACCTGAAACAGGGATCCAGCGATGAGGCAGGAGTTTCCCTCTCAACTCATTCATGTTCATCTTCTCTGTGTTTGTCTGGAATGAATCGACTTGATCCTCTGAACTCCACACACACACACACACACACACCGTCTCTCTGTTAACTGCCTCTCTCTCTCCAGGTTCATCTGACTCTACAAGGAGACTGTCCCGCCGCTTTCACCTTGTCCGTTCCTCTGTCGATATAATGGCGCTGTCACTGTGGTTACTGTGGATGTGTCCTGTGTTGCTTAGCAACATTGCTCCCTCTGAACAAGGTAAGCTCTTCACTCTTAAACACCTGTAGTTCTGTGGAGAGACCCGGTTCAGCCCATGAGGTGTGTGTGTGTAATGTGTGTGTGCAGTGTTGGGGAAAGTTACTGTTAAAGTTACTTTTTCTCTCCTGGGCTAGGCTTGGTTATTTCTTTTTTAATAACAACAAAAAAAGCTATATTTTTGGCAAATGTAAAGACCCTTTCACACTAATAAGCCTCAGACTGATGGAAATGCAAATTCACTCCTGTACACTAGAGGGCGCCGCTCAGACAAACCTCTCAGCTGCTGTTATTCTGGATTACAGAACTAGAGGAAGTTCAACACTCATATTTCTAGATCTAATCTAAAGTCATTTTTGCTTATTAGTATGATTGAATTAGATAATTGAAGGTCGGCAGCAAAGACAAAAGTCAGATTAAATAAATAAAGTATATTTGTGTAATTCAATACAGTTAATTATAAAAGTATTGCGTAAAATTCCGAGATTGCATTGTACTGTTTTTATTCATTTTGAGGAATACTGAATGTTTTCGTGCTAGTGAGTTGAGTAAATGCAGATCACATTTAGTCTAGAACTACTATAACCATCATTTTACACACACACACACACACACACACACACACACACACACACACACACACACACACACACACACACACACACACACACAAATCTCTAAATTTCTCTCAACATGAGGACAGGAGAGTCCAACATGCTGTCAGTCAATAAATTTAAAAACATAACTTATTACTTATTTGAAAAAGTAATGCGTAACTTCACTACTTACTGAAAAGTAATCTGATTACATAACTAAGTTACTTGTAACGAGTTTCCCCAACACTGGTGAGCTCTGCGCCTTTAGACCTGTAGTTCTGTGGTGAGACCCGGTTCGGCCCGTG